ATAAGCCATTATGCTCGACCTTGGCTGAAAGGGCTGGGACTCAATTCTATTTATCTTTTTGTCCTCGAGTATCAAAGCATAGTGGATGGCATATTGTTGGAGCTAACTAAATTAAGTTTATTTTGCAGAACAATATCATAGCATACTAAAAATACAAAGCATGAACATATCCTTTGCTGCTTTGCTTTGTAAATGACTGAACAGTCAAGTTAAGGCTTTCCTGCCTTCCTTAGCAAGGGTTTATTGACTACAGAGAGCTCTAGTTTTAGAACAGTAAAAAAAATTGACTCTTATTAGCTCTCTTTTTTTTTTCTTCAGAAAAGCTATTGAAGCAAAGTCCTAAATTTCCACTGTCTCTAGTGATCATTTTAATACTTCTAAGTGCAAATGAATCAAGCATTTATAAAACAAACATAAATGTGCATATCAAACTTTAAATTTGAATTTTAAATTTGAATTTAAATATCAAACATTTTTCTCTTTTGAGCTATAATACTGAGCAGTGTCTCCAATGTGTTTTCGATTGAAATATAAATAACTCAAGATTAGGAACTAAAAACCTTTCAAGATGAATCGATAATATCACTTTCCTATCAGCCAAATATAGTGCTATTAGAGTTCTGAAAAATTAAAAGACAAAGGCATTCTTAGCTGATCATTGTTTTTAAGACTCTACATTTTTAATGCAGCCGAGTGTTAAACATTTAGGTCTGTGGAACAATGAAGACCATATAGCTGTGATATATAAATTGTGATTGGAATACATCTTAATAGGTTAAGAAGCCCTTTCCAGACAAAGAGTGTCACTGTGGATCATGCTTAGATTGAGCATGTTGATAAGATAAATATCCAGGTATCTTTGGTTTTTCATAGAATATATATTCCATTTGTCCTCTGGTGTCTTTTTAAAAATTCTGTTCTTTTTTGACTTTGGTTAAAATGATTACACACCAATGCTTAGACTCATTTTCAGAAAGATATAAATCTGTGTAAGCACCAGGATAAATTCAAATGTTGTGGTTAAACCTGTATTTAAACACATTTTTCTAGGGCCTGAATGTTTTTAAATGCTTAAACATTGAGGATAGGGGAGATTTTTAGAATGATTCTTATAATTAACTATTCAGTTTTGTTTTTTATTGACTTAAAACCCCTCAATTAAGTCTTTTAAAACTACAATAAAGATATATATACCCATAACAAATTAGTGTTAATTACACTTATAAAATACAGCATTTAAGTCTTCTGATAAACCTTTTCTAGCAGTAAAATCTAACATTTTACACTGTAACAAATTTAAAGCGTAAACTATTCCACTTGCCTCGTTGTTTTCTGCCTCCATGCCTATTTTTCTATGCAAAAGCTTTATGTCAATTTACTTTTTGAGCCTTTTAAGACCAAACCAAATTATTCCTTCAGCACATTTTAAACAATCCCTTAAAGACTTCTTTTTCTTGGCTGTTTCCAATCTTGGCTTATCACTATAATATTTCATGCTCCATGCTTCTGAAAAAATTCAATATTCAAGAACAAAGTAATCCATAGCTTTACTTCATTTCAGTCTTTTTATGTCCTAGGGCTGTCCCAACTCAATGACCCAGTTTTTATTGTGTCATATTTCCCTGTCTGTGGCTGACTGTGACCAGCTTGCCTAATCCTTTTCTCGTCTCTTATCAGTTTTCCCTTAATTCAAAAAAATTTTTAATTCTTTGCACTTCTCCTTTTGCAGCTTTTAGATTTTTTTTCCCTCCTTGGGAGAGTCAGAGTTCCTGTGGTAGCTACTCAGAAACACAAAGATGAGTGAGTAACTAAAGTCCATAAGTCAGAAATTTCATTATACTATCTTTAGAATTGTGGGTTGTAAATGGCAGAAAGTGGATGTTATAATTTGGCAATATGCATCAAGAGTCCTTAAAAATGTTCAGATCTTATGATCCAGCAATTTAACCAGCTTATTAATTTAAAAGAATCACCTAAGGTATGGAAAAAGCTATATACATGAGATATTCATTACAATGTATGTATAAAAGCAAAAGAAGAAAAGACACATATTTGGCAATAGGAAAGAAGTTAAATTACTATCTATCTACTTGATGGAATATTGCATAATCACTTAAGATGACGATTATGTGACTGTGTAGAAAGATGGGTAAATGTAATGTTCTCTGAAAAGCAGGATACATAGATGATCACAACTATGTTTTTAAAAAGCATTTACAAAGGGCAAACTGCAAAGAAACCTGACATTTTCTAATAGTTATTTTAGGGTGGTGAAATTATAGATGATTTTTCTTTCCTTTATTCTCAATATCTTGACTGTTTAAAATTTAAGTTTTTATTTTCTCATCTTAACTAATAAAAATTAGGAATCAACTAGGTAGGTTATAGCAAATAAAATTTATAAAAGACTATTTCAGATAGAGCTCTATTTAAGTCCAATAATCTAACTTGGGGGAGGGTGCAATAAGACAATTAGTATGCCATTTTGTTTACCATCGAGTGTTATCCTCAAAAGGATAAAAAGGAAAAAACTTCCAATACTTATTTTAGAACATAAAATAAAATTATTTTTTAAAACTTTAATAGATTCTACTCAAGTTTATTTAACTGTCACTGAATTTATCCAGGCCAGCTTGTTCTAAAGTTACTTCAAGTTCTTCCTCTAGTCCAGCCCTTTCAATCTATTTTCTACACTGTCTTTGGAGAAGTCTTTCTGAAACCTAAATCTGTTTGTGATATTTTACTGTTTAAACTATTCAGGGATTTAGAATATTAGAATCTTTAGCTTAGCTTACTAGCTTCTTCCAAGTTTCTCTACTTTATTCTGTGCCCTTTCTTCTCATGCGCCCCTCCTTCCAGCTTTACCATACTACATGTAATACCTGAAAGAGTGCTCAGTCACTATTATTTCTGTTTCTTAATACTGAAATTAACACAAAATATTCAATGTGATGAAAACCAGGATCTACAACCAAGAATATTTTATTCAGCAAAGCTGTCATTTAGAGTCAAAGGATAGATAAAGAGCTTCCCAGACAAAAATTAGCTAAAGGAATTTATCAACACCAAGCCAGTATTACAGGAAATGTTGGAGGGACTTCTTTAAGAAGTAAAAATATGTCAAAAACATATGAATAAAAAATGGTAATAATTACATATCTATCAACAAGTACCTCAAGTGGGAAATAATTAAGTGCTCCAACCAAAAGATAGTGTGGCTAAATAGATAAGAAAACAAGACTCCTACACATGCTGCCTACAAGAGACTCACTTCAGAGTTAAAGACACACACAGACTAAAAGGAAAAGATTGGAAAAAATTATTGCCTTGATGGACCTAGAGAGTATTACGCTGAATGAAGTCAGTCAGATAGAGAAAGACAAATATCACGATTTCACATACATGTGGAATCTGAAGAATAAAATACACAACAACAAAAACGGAAACAAACTCATAGATACAGAAAATATTTTGAGGGCTACTAGACGGGAGGGGTTTGGGGGACGTGGTGAGAAAGGGCAAAGAGATTAAGAAGTACAAATGGATAGTTACAAAATAGTCATGGAAACATAAAGTGTAGCATAAGGGACATAGTCCACAATGTTGTAATATGTAAGGGGGAAGAGGGGTACCTGATTTAGTGGGGTGATCACTTTGTGAGTTATATAGATCTCTAATCACTGCTGTATGACTGAAACTAATGTTATTGTATACCAACTATAATTGAAAAAAATTCATTGAATTGTACAATTTAAATATGAGAAACTGTCTATTATATTTAAATAACATTGGAAAGTCTATAAAGTTATAAAATTAGAAAAATTAAGCAACATAAGAATGAGTAAGGTAAAGCATGGAAATCTTAACATGGGTATGAATTATAGAGAAGAAAATTGGAAAAAACAATATTTAATGTAACTACAACTGTTTCTTAGTAAAATACATTACTCATAAGGCCACATTTCCCTATTTGGAAAGAAGAAATATTACATTTGTCCCCCCTTATCTACAGTTTTGCTTTCTGCAGTTTCAGTTACCAGTGGTCAACCACAGTCCAAAAATATTAGCTGTAAAATTCCAGAAATAAATAATTCTTAAGTTTTAAATTGCGTGCCATTCTGAGTAGTGTGATACAATCTTGAGCTGTCCCGTTTAGTCCTCCCCAGGATGTGAATGATCAATTTGTCTAGCATCTCCATTCAGTAGATGCTACCCACCCATTAGTCAGTTATCAGACTGTTGTAACATCACAGCGCTTGTGTTCAGGTAACCCTTATTTTACTTAATGGCCCCAGAGTGCAAGAGTAGTGATGCTGACAATTCAGATACACCAAAGATATGCCATAAAGTGCTTCCTTTAAGTAAAAATATGCGTACAGTACAGGAAGATTTTGAGACCACATTCACATAACTTCTATTACAGTATAGTTATAATTATCCTATATCATTATTATTGTTAATCTCTTACTGTACCCAATTTATAAATTAAACTTTATCACAGGTTTAAATGTGTAGGAAAAAAACATAGTATGTATAGTGTTTAGTAGTATCTAAGGTTTTGGACATCCACTGGTGGTCTTGGAATGTATATCCCACAGATAAGGGGAGACTACTGTAGATCCCTTAACAAGATCCAATAATCACTTAAAAAGAATGTTCAGACATCCAAGCAATTTTTTTCTTAACAAAATGTCCTTAAATAGGTTTTTCCTGTTAGCAAGGGAACATGCTCATTTAAGATCACGAATATAGACCCTTAGTTCTTACTGTGTATTAATAGACACCCTGGTTTTCAACTCAAGGTTCATGTAAATTTTTTGAGTATGAAGCAATTCTTCAGTGAATAATAATTTAGTAGATGTGATCACAAGTATTAATGTGCTTAGTACTGTGCTCATTACATAGAAGGCTCTCTAATATGTATTTTTCTCCTTCCTTCCCTCGTATCTAATAAAAATAATAAACCCATGGCTCAAAAGAACTGTACAAGACAAGAATGATTTGTTGCAGATGTTAATAAAAATATTTTATAATTTATTGTAAAGACATTTTGCACACCACCATCACCATAAATACTGAACATGGTTTTATAAAAGTTATAATTTTGTGATAAAAATATTTCCTAAGTACCATGATAATCCACCTGTTTTCTTCTTAACTTCAGTGTAATAGATATGACTAGGGTTAGAATTTAACCCTAGCAGACATGAACATTTGGTGTCTTGGTTTACAAATACAGTCTAATACACCAGAATATTGACAAGCATTTTCATGTGCTTTAGATGTACTGCCAAGACATGGTTACCAACCAAGTTTAAAAGAAATATACACATTTCTAGTTACAGGTGCTAACTAGAAATATTACAGTAAAGCTGGTAAACTGTGACCACCAACATAGAATTCTACACACCTGAGAAAGTCAACAACAACCTAAAAATTAAGATATTTGGCATTAGGTGGACAATATTAAGACTTTAGAGTTGACTTACTGCTTTCATGTACTGTACAGTCTAATCATTGCCCCCACATTTGGAGTTTTAGAACTAGAGGGTATACAATTCCAAAACTTGATTTGTCCTTTATCTCGTGCTAGATCTCTGTTTTCATAACTATTACAGTCTTCTGGAATAATCTTTAAGATTTTCACTCAACAGCACTGGGTCAAATCTCTTCTATACAGGATCTCATTGTTCTCATGCCTCCTCTATTTGCAGAGAGCCGGTCAAAGTCTTGGAGGTGGAAACGAGTTGCCAACTGATTTACCATTTTCCTCAAGGTAAGAAATGCTGAAACAACTTGGAAAGTAAGGAACATAGTGAAGATGATGTGTACTGCTTTTTCCAAGGGCAGATTCGTTAGGCCTTCATTAAAGAGCAAGAAAAGAATTAAAGGCAACTGCAATAGAAGGCTCAAAAGCCAAAAGCCAGCCAACTCAGGAACCTGCAGTGACACATATTAAGAGTAATCAGATCAGTGAAGTACACTCTTGTTTATACAAATAAGCAAGGACTTAGCACTACTGTGAACCTACAGTGTGAACTCTGTAATTCAAAAGGGTTTAGCAGGGCCTTTGCCCTCAGAGAATTTACAGTCTAGATTAGAAGAGAAAACTAACAATCCTAGAATAATACACCTTACTAAATAATTAAATGCACCACTTAGTGGTACAGACTAAACGCTACAAGAAATAAGACAAGAGAGTGATTAGACTATGTAAAACAAAGAATTCAGAATATAGGCTTTTAAAGTTAGGTAGAAAAAGGAAGAAGCAACAAAGTAAGTAAGCAAAGATGTGGGAATCAACATGTCAGCCTGGAATGGATGCTTGGTTTAAGAAATAGCAAGAAATACAGTGAAACAGCCTGGATGGTGACTAATTATGAAGGGCCTAGAAAACCGTATACATCTTTAGACATCATCCTTAAGCTCTGGAAACTGTAAATGTATAGGCAGCATTGATGATGCAGAAGACATGTCACCAGCATAGGAAATGAGTTTATAATTTTCTCCCATTTTCTTATTCAGGATCCAAACAGACATGTTTAATTGACCAAGTATTTTCAATACTGATGAGCAGAGGCAAAATTATCAATTCATAAGTGCCTACTATTTTCAAGTACTTTATATAAATTATTTCATTTAATCCCAATAAATCCATGAAGTAAACATTTCCTCCATTTCACATATGAAGAAACCAAGGCTCAAGAGATTAAGCAAACAGACCACAGTGACAGAAGTGGTAAAGTTGGAGCCAGGCCTTAACTACAGGCCTTTGGTCCTTCCACCACATCTCACTGCCTTTTCCTTACTATGAAAACCTTATTGCATTTATGTGTAGCACTGAGAGAAAGTAAAGAAGAACCTACCTTTTCCTGTAGATTACCCATGTAGCCTAGATACAACCTGATAGCTTCGATTAAGGTTATTAGGATGATAACAGTGACCACAATGAATTTGTAGTAATCAGGCAAGATCGAATACTAAAAAAACAAAAATAAACATGTTTGTAAAATCTCACATATAGTAAAACTGACCTGAGATACAAAGAATACTAAGAACTTCAATTTTATTGACAATGTAACAATGCCAGGAATGCGCAGAAGAGACCTCAGTAAGAAGTATTAAAGCATGGACTTACCTTCATCTGAAGCATCATAACGCTGCTCACCCACCAAAGTGGGAAAAAGTAAGTGTTAAAATAAAGTGACATCTGCAATGCCAAACTGGAAACCATTTCATTATCTACAGAAGAAATAGAGAAAAAAGGAACAAATTCTTCATCCTGGACTACAACTTTTAGTTCCTTAGAATAACTATTGTATTGGTTCAAAAAAACTTCAGATTTTAAGTCTATTTATAATAATTGCCAACAAAAGGAAATAGTCATCAAAATACTATTTAGTTCATATATTGGTTATTTGGGGGTATGTTTCATATTTTTCAATTAACTTTGTCATTCTGCCCTTACAGCTGACTTTTTTGCACACTACTGAAATAAATGTAGAATATCAATATGAATCCTATTGAAACACAATAATTATCATCTCCTTTGTAGAGTTCTAAGAGGCTATAAAATAAACACATAAAATACATGAAAGCTACATTCTCACATATAAATTAATCCCACACAAAAACTAATCTCCCTGAATTATAATTAGACACACACTCCTTTACAGCATACCACAGTCCCAGCCATTCATTAATACTCAGTTCAATACCACTTTTTTCATAAATCCTTTCTTGAAGTATTCCCCCACCTCAGTAGAAATCTCTTTGCTCTCTAGGCACTTATCACTCTAGCTTGTGTATAAGCACTGTTAGCAAAGAACCACACTCCCCTCACTCAAGACACAGTCCGGTGTCCTGAAGAGATCATGAGCTTTGAAGTCCAAGTAAACTTGGAACTCCCCAAACTCCCCTGTAACTCTGGATGCCAGACTTGAGATAAGTTATTTAACCTCTTTGAGCCTCAATTTTTTCATTTGTAAAATAGTAACATTAAAATTACCTCACAGGTCGCTTGTGAGAATTAGAGATAATACAGAAATGATATAAATATTTCACTTTAGCAACATGCCTGGCATTTAAGAGGCACTCAATAAATGTCTACTTTCCATTTCTTTCACTTGTATACAGCTTCAATGTAAGCACAAACACCACTTTACCCAAATATGAGACCCTCATAGAACCTAGTATCTTGCTTTACACATGGTAAATATCAAATATGTGTAAGCAGAAAGAATAAATTAATGAACACAGTCATAAGAACATTATCAGTGTAGCCATTCATGATACATGGGTTTCATTTATCTAAGGCTGATTATATGTTTCGCTTTTATGTAAGGGAGAAGGGTCCTAAAATAAGAATTTTATTTTTTAAATTGAGTTTTTATGCATCCTAAATTTTACTGAATTCTAACAATTTAAGAGCAGATACGTACTTTGAAATCGATTGCTTTAAATGTTAAGAATTCACAAAGGCTTTAAAATAAATTAAAAACAAATTTAAAATTTTTTCTCTACAACTTAGCATTTTATCTGTCATTTAATAATTTTAAAAATATAAGAAATAATAATGTTCTCACAGCAGTAAGGTTTCCTTTAGTTCCAAGAATATGCCTGATTATTAAGTCTATTTTTAAAATTGTTATTATAACCTACTTTTGCTTGCATCTGTTTATTAAATTACCACTGATAAAGGAATGAATTCTTAAAATCTGTAAAATCTGAAGGCAACTCACATCTTAGGATTTTTTTCATAACAACAGTACAACTCTTGGTCAGCTGTGGACATGATAATGATATACACTTTTAATTACAGTACAAATAAACCTACATCAGACACATCCAGAAGAAATTAAGGAAAAATGATAAATTAAGCTGAAATTTTTAATAACTTTGGAGCAGAAAATATAGTCAAATTTTGCAAGGAAGTTTTTGTTAAAAATTTTGTGCATGAGCATCTTAAGAGTTATGCCACGTCTGTATTTCAGTAGATAAAACTTATAATCGTGAAATTGAAAATCAAGTTAATATGTAAATGAACCTGGAAAGCACAAGAAATGAATTTACTAAATTTTGCAAAAGTACAAGTTGAGTTCTATAAATGGAATTTAAATTGAAACATTATATAATATAAATCAGGGGTAGGAAAACTACCAGCCAGCTGCCTGATTTTGTATAGCAAGTGAGCTAAAAATGGTTTTTCTCATGTTTAAATGGTTGGGGGAAAATAAAAAAATATTTTATGACATTGAAAATCATATGAAATTCAAATTTTGGTGTCCACAAATAAAGTTTTATTGGAACACTGCCATGTCTATTATCTATAGCTGCCACAGAGACTTATGGTCTACAAAGTTTAAAATATTTACTATCTGGCCCTTTACTGAAAATGGCTGCTGACCCTTGATTCCTTGTGTCATCAGATTTTAGAGCCCATTAATCCTTAACTTTAGAATCAGAAATGTAAAAACCCAATTTTTCATATTATGTTTTTCTCTGTACATCCTAAATTATGAAGAGGCCTAAATTTGGGGGACAGGCAAGTAATCAGTTGAAAAAATGCACACTATGAGAATTCTTTACCTTTCTCTGACCCTAAAACCTATACCAAGCAAGAGGAAAAGATTTCTACTTCCAGCAAAGTTCGGTGATAAAAACTACATGGGTTTGGTTGACAATATGTTGTCTATCATCACGATGTAAGATGGGGAAACTGTTTTGGAGTAAACTGTCTTCTGACTTGTCTTATGTTGATATTCTGCTACGAAATTCAGAGAAAGAGTTTATACAGGGAGGGGAAAGAGAAGGCAGGGAAAGGGAGAGTTTTGTTGAAAGTAATGCTAGTGTAGCCACTGTTACTCTGGAGTGGATAGTGATTTAAAATGACTCATTAAAAAAACTTCTTTCCATCTCTTCTGCCAGAAAACCGCCTTGTGGTGGAACGTACTTGTTCTGCTAGGAAAAGAGAAAAGGAAAAGAAATTTTATTGGTTTGGGGTGTAGGCAGTGGGACGGGGCGATTCCCTCCACCCAGGCCTGAAAAGTCAGGGCTGACGCCGCAGAGGAAAAGCAACGCGAGGCTTCGCAGACAGCGAGGGACTTGACATGTGCTGCGGTGGCAACTTTTATATTTTTATTTTTTGAGGAACGCTAACGCCACCTCAGTTGCCCTGCTTTCAGTTCGCCAGCCATGCCGCTGCTTGATCAGCACAGGACTGGCGGGAGATCAAGGCATAGATACGACCCAGTCCCAGCCCATGACCTGGCCTATCCTCTAGGCGCTTCCCGCACTGCGGCGAGCCAGCTGAAGGCGAAACCACCATTTTAGGTACGGGCAAATCTGGCCCCTCCAAAACCTGCGCCAGGTCCTTGGCGGGCCACACTCACTCCCTGCTCTGAGCCTTGATCACTCACCCGGACCCTCGGTATACTCTGGCCCGGTCCGGTTGGAGTCGCTGAACATGGTCCGGCTGAAGTTTCCCAGCCGCAGGCGAACCTGATCCGGCAGCTCCATGCCCAGGCTTCGGTATAGCTCCCAGCTGCGTCTGCAGGAGCAGCAGCGTGCTGCAGTTCCCACGGCAACCGGGTGGTGCTAGGGTCCCCCACGCACGCGCAGCCTCACAGCCGTCTGAGGCGCTAGTTGCGAGCCCGTGCACTGGAAGGTAGGGATGAACAGAAGGCAGGTTTCCGCTAAATCCCTCAGGCGGGTGCAAAACGGCATAGTCCTTAAACCTGTTTTAAATCCCAATGTTTAGCTCCTATGCCAGAAATATGTATGTATAATATATAATATTCCTAATAATATATATTCACTATATGTGTATAGATACATGTACGTACATACACACATTTGATGGACTACATTGCAGCAGCTTAAAAAAACATGCTTCCAATGAATATTTGATGATAAAGATGAACTTTAAGTAAAATAAAAAAACAAGTAAAACTAAATAGGAATAAAACTAGCAAAATTGTGTGTGTGTGTGTGTGTGTGTGTGTGTGTGTAAATATGTGGAGAGCAGAAAGGGAGAGGAGATAGCACAAGCACTGTGGAGTTGGGAATGACAAATCCAGGAAGATCAGTAAAGCAAAACTTGCTTAAGGAAACAATAGATCTCTCAAATGAATTTGGGATACTGATTAGAAGCCAGTGGCCAAGGCCGCTGCTGCTTTTTTAACTTTTTAAAAAAAATCTGAATATGTAATTAAAACTTTATTTTTAAATAAGTTATTAACTTTTTAATTATAATTGGCATACAATATTACATTAGTTTCAGGTGTACAACATAGTGATTAGACATTTATATAAGTTACGAAGTGATAAAGTGATAAAACTAGTACCCATCTGACACTGTACATAGTTATTACACTATTGTTGACTGTATTCCTTATGCTATATGTTACATGTTACATCCCCATGACTATTTTGTAACTACCAATTTGTGCTTCTTAACCTCTTCCCCTTTTTCACCCACTCCCCGAACCCTGCTCCCATCTGGCAACCCTTAGTTTGTTCTCTGAATCTATGAGTTTGTTTCTCTTTGCTTGTTTATTTTGTTCTTTGGATTCCACATGTAAGCGAAATCATATGGCATTTGTTTTTCTCTGACTTACTCTACTCAGTGCAATACCCTCTAGGTACATCCACGTTGTTGCAGATGGCAAGATTTTATTCTTTTTTATGGCTGAGTATATTCTACTGTGTTTATGCACCACCTTTTCTTTATCCATCCACTGATGGACACCCAGGTTGCCTCCATACCTTGGCTATTATAAATAATGCTTCAGTGAGCATATGGATTTATGTGTGCCTTTGAAGTAGTGTTTTAGATTTTTTCAGAAGTGAGATTACTGAGTTCTTCTTTGTTTCTTATTATAGCCTTTGTTTTAAAGTCTATTTTGTCTGATATAAGTATTGCTATCCCAGCTTTTTTTTTATTATTATTTCCGTTTTCATGAAATATCTTTTTCTGTCCCTTTACTTTCAGTCTATGTGTGTCTTTCAATCTGAAGTGAGTATCTTGTAGGCAGCGTATGAAAGGATCTTGTTTTCTTATGCATTCAGCCACCCTATCTTTTGATTGGAGCATTTAATCCATTTACATTTTAAGTAATTGTTGGCAGATATGTAGTTATTGCTGTGTTATTATTCACATTTAAAAAAATCTTTTTCTTTTTAATGAAGTCCCTTTAACATTTCTTGTAATACTGGTTTGGTGGCAATGAACTCCTTTAGCTTTTTATTGTCTGGGAAGCTCTTTATCTGTCCTTCAATTCTAAATGATAGCTTCGCTGGATACAGTAATCTTAGTTGTAGGTCCTTGCTTTTCATCACTTTGAATATTCCATGCCAATCCCTTCTGGCCTGCAAAGTTTCTGTTGGGAAATCAGCTGACAGTCTTATGGGACCTCCCTTGTAGGAAACTAATTGCTTTTCTCTTACTGCTTTTAGGATTCTCTTTGTCTTTAACCTTTGGCATCTTAATTATGATGTATCTTGCTGTGGGCTTCTTTGGGTTTATCTTGTTTGGGACTCTGTTTCATGGGCTTGTATGTTTACTTCCTTCACCAGATTAGGGATATTTTCTGCCATTATTTTTTCAAATAGGTTTTCCATTTCCTGCTCTCTTTCTCTCCTTTCTGGTACCCCTATGATGTGAATGTTGTTCCAGAGGCCCTTTAAAGTATCCTCATTTGGGGGGATTCTTTTTTCTTGTTGCTGTTCTGGTTGGTTTTTTTCTGCTACCTTATTGTCCAGATCACTGATTCAGTACTCTGCTTCATCTAATCTATAGTTGATTCCCTCTAATGTATTCTTCATTTCATTTATTGCATTCTTCAGTTCTGACTGGTTCTTTTTTTGTGTTTTATAACTCCATTTTTATGTTTTCTATCTCTTTGTTAAAGTTCTCACTGAGTTCCCCTACTCTTCTCCTAAGTTCATTGAGCATCCTTATAACCAGTGTTTTGAACTCTGCATCTGGTAGATTGCTTGTCTCCATTTTGTTCAGTTCATCTTCTGGAGCTTTGTTCTGTTCTTTCTTTTGGGACATGTTTCTTTGTCTCCCCATTTTGGCTGCCTTTCCGTGTTTATGTCTATGTATTAGGTAGGACTACTATGTCTTCCAGTCTTAGTAGAGTGACTTTATGTGGTAGGCGTGCTGTAGGGCCCAGTGGCACAGTCTTCCCTGGTCACCTGAGCTGGGTGTTCCAGATATGTTCCATGTATGGGCTGTGTGTACTTTCCTGTTGTAGTTGAGCTTCGGTTGCTGTTTGCATGTCACTGAGAGAGATTGACCCTTGGGTAGATTTGTTGTGAAGACTGGTCATGACCAGTGGAGGAGCTATTGTGCAAGGGCTAACCCTATGAAGTAGGGTTTGCTTTAGCAGAGCTCTGGTGCCTGCCCAGTCCATCCTTTGGGTGAGTCCTCCTCAGATGTGATCCTGAGTGGTGCCCTGGCTCAGAGTGAAGTCGACCACTGGGCATGCTGGTCGGGGACTAGTAGGAGGGGCCTTGCCACAGGCCAAATTTAGCCACAGCCTGTGTCCCACCCAGAGCCACTTGGCATGAGCCACCAAGCAATCCATAGATGGCCACCACCCACACTGAGCTTGGATGTACCTCGAGAGGCCAAGCTGTAAACAAAGGCCGGCTACCACTGGTGCTGGGCTTGGGGCTGCTCAACAAGAGACCAGATGCTACTTGTTTAGGTTTTGTGAACCTTTGTGAGATTTTAGGAATGTCTGTAGCATGAGCCAAGACAGGAAGTGGCTTGGGTTGGCCTGCAAGTTGGGCAGGGCGGGGTCTCAGGGAATCATTAGGGCGGAGCAACCTGTGTTAGCCTGGTTGATAGAGGCTCTAAGATGGCGGCCACCTGCGTCTGCACGCCAGGAGGGGAGAGGGATCAACAAAGGAACAATTCCTTCTGTCAGCATTTCTGTCTGGGAGAAAGCTGCCTCTCTGGCCCTTGCCCTGAAGCCAGACAATTCGGTTCCTCCTCATTTGTCCCCGGCGACTTTCAAGCTGCTGCCCCAGTGCTGGAGCTCAGAGCGAGTAAGTCAGTGAATAAGTCCGTGTATGGGCCCCTTAAGAGGAATATCTGAAACTCCAGAGGCCCTTTGTCTTACTCAGCCACAATCTCCACTGGTTTTCACAGCTAGAAATTATGAGGACTTCTCTTCTTGACACTGGAACCCTGGGCTGGGGAACCTGATGTGGGTCTGGAACCACTCACTCTTCTGGGGGATCTCTGCAACCAAGATATTTCTCTCGATTCTCAACCGCCACTAGCGATTGTGGCATCAGCCTGTTCCGCATCTGTACCTCCTGCCAGTCTAGAGGTGGCCTCTTCTGTGTGTCCCCAGCTGTAGAACTTCTGTTCAGCTACACTTCAAGTGTCTCCTAATGATGGCTGTTCTGTAGTTGTAATTTTGATGTGGTTGTGAGAGGAGGCCAGCACAGCGTTTACCTCCTCCACCATCTTGACCAGAAGCTCCTATCATATCATATTTAATATGAATAGACTAAAGACCAACACTTGGATTTAGAATATCGATTACATAACCTTTGGATGAGGGGAGCTTTGAGGTTGCCAGCATTAGTGTGGTTTGGCTGCCAAAAAACTATTGGGATCTTAGGCTTTGTTAATAAACTTAGGATCCAGATCAGGAAAGCTATAATTCCACAACTCTGTCAAAGGAACCAGACTTCAGGGTATGTTTGATTTAAATGTGCTTGAGATTGTTTATTTTAATATTTCAACAATAATCGACAATAATCAAAAAAAAAGTACAGCTTCAACAGCTTCTTGGGTGTTGTCTGATATGCACATGACAGGCATTAAACATTTCTCGGAAAACCTCTATCCTTCCTATAACCACACCTGCATTTCCAATAGGCCTAGCAAAAGTTTCACCAAAATTTGCTTGACATGGCAAAGATTGCTGATAAAAGCATTTCTTTTAAAATAAAAGAGACAAGGATACCAACTATGGCCCTCGTACCCCCTGCCTCAACCTTATTCAGTATTGAATTAGGCAAGAAAAGAAGGAATGAAGGTATAAGGATCAGAAGTGAAGAAATAAAACTGTCAATATTCAGAACTAGAATTTCATATGCTTTTAACTTCTTAGACCTCACCTGGGCCATTTCCTTAGCTGTGTTATCACATTTTAAGAGTATTGTGTGGATGTAAACACAGAGATTTATAGGGGGATAATTATGGTGGTGATGAGGAGGGGTCTTTGAAAACATGGCATGTGAGGAAAAGATTTGGAACTGTTTCACCTTGGGAAAAACTCATAGGAGGGAAAAAAAAGAGCCAGATTAACTTGTCTTAAGCTATTTAAAGGAAAAATTGTTATGTGGAGTGAAGAGTAACCTTTTTTTTTGAAAAGTCCAAGGAAATATAATAGGGGTCACTAAGAGGCAAGAGGAAGAGAGATTCAAGCTCTAGCAGAACTTTCAAGAGAGTGATTCAAAATTGTGAGAAGGATGCCTTAAGAGGCAGAAAGTTCTTTGTCACTGAAAGTTTTCAACCAAAGGCTAAATGACTAT